CGCCGTTTAAAAATAATTGTTTAGTTCGAAACCTCCAGAAACCTAGCTAATAAATTACTGTCGCCGTTTAAAAATAATTGTTTAGTTCGAAACCTACTCCAGATTATAAAAGAGTTCACATTATGCGCTTTTAGTTTTCGGTAAACTGTGGCCATACTTCCAAAACTCGCTAAGTTAACTACTACTACTTGCGTTCTATTTTCTTGTCTATGATTGGTAGATTTTGCTAGAAAGGCCGTCAATGATTAACTAATGAACTTACGATCTCTTGACTTTTTTTTTAAAGTATGGCCCCTGTGCATGATTCCGTATTGTTCTCGAGGAAGAGCCCAATTGCTTGATTAAGGGTGATTTTGATTAAAAAATATTACGTATCTCATGCAGCCAAGTGTCTTCCCGGGCACGTGTCGAACACGGGCTTGTTCCCATGCTTCCCGTGTCCTAGAGATCACTTCCAGCATCTACACGGCGCCACTCACTGCTACAGGTACTCAATAATTATTGCACAAAATAAATTTTTCAATAAGTATGCTTAGCAATAATTATACAAATAATCGTCAATAATTATTGCAGTAAAAGAAATTTTTTTCAATAGGTATATGCTTCGCGATAATGATACAAATAATTGTCAATAATTATTGCACCAAAGAATTTTTTTCAATAGGTATACTACGCGATAATGATACAAGCAATTGTCAATAACTGTTGCAATGGAGAAAATTTTTCAATAAAGATAAAGCAATAATGATGCAAATAATTGTCAATAGATACTGCACTAAGAAATTTTTTTCAATAAGCATGATTAGCGATACTGATACAAATAATTGTCAATAATTATTGCACTGGAGAAATTTTTTCAATAAAGATGCTTAGCAATAATGATACAAATAATTGAGAATAATTATTGCAAAAAAAAATATTTTTCAATAAGCATGCTTCGCAATAACGATACAAATAATAGTCAATAATTATTGCACTAAAGAATTTTTTCAATAAGCATTCTTAGAAATAATAATACAAATAATTGTCTATAATTATTGCACAAAATAAATATTTTCAATAAGCATGCTTAAAAATAATTATTGAACTAGAGAAATTTTTTTCTATAAGTATGCTTCGAAATAATGATACAAATAATTGTCGAATCATATGAGAGTAAAAAGAGTAATAATGACTTTTTTATCAAAGGTGCCCCAACAACACCAAGATAACAGCATCCGGAGCAACTGTTATCAGCGCATGTCAAGGCCTGCAGGGTGAATTTCAGGTCAGTGGAGGACTTAGATAGCTCTTATATTTTAATGTTGAGAGTTCGATGAATTTTGACTTTGAGAGTTCGATGTATTTTGACTTTGAGAGCTCGATGTGTTTTGACTTTGAGAGCTCGATGTGTTTTGACTTTGAGAGCTCGATGTGTTTTGACTTTGAGAGCTCGATGTGTTTTGACTTTGAGAGCTTGATGTATTTTGACTTTGAGAGCTNATATAGTAATTTTGTACGGTGATAGTGAAGACTTGCCGTGAGCTGCAACCACCCCCCGACGGGGAGATGAAGTGCACGCACGGCGACGGCCGCATCGACACCGAGTGCTACTTCGGCTGCCACGCCGGCTTCCTGCTCGTAGGGTCCTTCCGACGCACGTGCCTCCCCGTCGCCATGTGGGACGGCATTCCTGCTCACTGCAAGCGTACGTTGTGCTTTATTACATGTCACGGCTCACTGCAAGCGTACGTTGTGCTTTATTACAAGACAGGGGCCGTTGATGTTTGTACAGAATTTATTAAGTATATAAAAGCAATTTATTAAGTATATAAAAAAAGTCCATTTTTAACGCCCTAAGTAATTTTAAAAAGATATAAAGTGATTTTTAACGCCCTAAGTGATTATATAAAAATATCTATAAATCCTTTTTCATGTATGTAAAATTGCTATGTAAAATTTAGTTTAAACATGCTGCACACCTAGTTCATACATGATATAAAAAGCCCTTGAACTTGACGCAAAAAAGTTAATCACTACAAAAATAATTGCATATTACGTGCAATCGATTTATACATGATATAAAAACCCTTGAACTTGACGTAAAAACCTTCATCACTACTAAAAACATAATATTACGTTGAGTCGAAACTTGTAATGGAACAAAAGCCTGACCGTTCAGCGGTGTTCTGCCCGCCTTTACCGTTTAGACTGACCGTTTAGCGGTGCCTGACCGTTTAATTTCCGATATTAAATCCGATTTACGTTTACAGAACGTTTAGTTTCCGATTTTAAATTTAATCGGATTAAAAAATCATGACCGTTCAGCGGTGTTCTGTCCGCCCTTACCGCCACTGCGGCATGCGACGGTCTCGCCACACTCCTGCCTCACGGACAAGAGCCGCTACGCCACCACCTGCAACTTCACATGCAGCGCTGGCTTCCTGCTCGACGGCGCCTCGAGCACCAGCTGTGAAGGTCTCGGCAGATGGTCGCACAGTGGGGGGGAGGTTAGGTGCATCGGTGAGTTGCTTTTTTCCCATTATTAAATCTTGGCTACTATATTTTGCTGTCAATTTTTTTCAATAAGCTATTTTATCCCATTATAAGATCTTGGTTATTAGTAGACTTTACTGTGATTTTTTTTATATAAACAAATTTGAAATCTATAAACGAACATTACTCGTCAATAACTTAAATAGGTATAATAAAAACGTATATGT